AGGGGAGGGGAGGAGGAGGGGAGTGGGAGGGGAGGCAAGGGGGAGTTCAATAACCCTCACTAACAAGACTATATTGTTACCTTAGACTGTCGCAAATGTAAATTCATTTACAAATTCACCCTGTTGCGGAAAATCTTAGAACTAAGACACTGCCAAATTTTTATTTTCCCAGAAGTGTTAATTGTGCGGATGAAGTTTTGATTACGCAAAAAATAATGTCGATTGTCGTTGCCGCTATACACGACTGTGATTGTGAAAGTACACGTACAGTAGGAACACTCCCAATTATTTGACTTAAATAGACATTTGATAAAGATCCTGCAAAATCCAATTATTTTATTAAAAATGAAAGGCATAGTAAATTAGATTTTGATCGATGTTCTCAAAGAAGTGAGAAGCGTGCATTACCACTATCCCAGTAATCAACTGAGCGTAGATCACGGGGTGGGCCCAGTAACGAACTTTTTACAGGATTAATTAAGCACTGAATACAATGGCAGGTATAAGGGTATGAACACGTATAACTACGTAGTTCGGGTGAATGCTTTACAATTTAATAGCTGGCAGTACTGATTTGATGTATAACTCAGTCACCTGCTTGGAACTTAAAGACCTTAAATGTCAAGAAATAAAAAAAATGAAAACGGAATAAACTATATACCGTGTGTAATTAGCGCATTGAGGAGTATTCAATCAGTGTGCAATGTAGAAAAGCGAAGCATGATGCTGTCGACTAACGTACACAATCACAGTCCTACACTGGCGTAATCAGGCGTCTCAGTTGTTAGAACAGACAGTTCTAGAAACTTTGTCACGTAAAGTAAGAATAATATACTCCATCAAAACGTTTTTTTTGGGTGTATTTAACGTTAATAAAACACGTTTTCATACCGGTGTGTAGGGCAAGGGAGGGCTTACCAGACTATATTCCCTAATGGAACAGAAACAAAGCTGCAAGTTCAAACGCAGAGCAATGACATTTACCAACGTTCCAGAAACAGATCAGTTTCGTTGTAACACCATAGAACAGCGAGCTTTGAATGGAATCCTGGTAAAAATTGAGGGAAAACAGTTCAATACAAAATATGCAAAACACTCTTCTGGCATGGTATCATAGAGTTTATATCTGAATACAAAGACACGACACAGGGGACTCCAGTAGAGGGACCAGGAAGGCGTGAGATTGGCGCATTGATGTGTGGACAGGTACGTGTACTAGTGGCGCACTTTAGTCGTTCTCTTAACCCTTTGCCTTTAGCTATAGACAAAGCTATTTACACCAGCATCGGCAAACAATGCAATTATTCCGATACAGATGGCATTATTCTTAAAACGAAAGAATCTCACCACAATTGACACCACCGGAAGTGAAATTGCATGCACTTGTATCATTGTTTATCGGAATCTTATAAACTTGTTTACATATAAAAAATATAAGAAATAAGACGAAACGCACAACAAAATAAACGTATCAAAAGTTTAACGATCTTGGGATTGTCGCTGTGGCATTAAACTTATCGAGTTAGGCAGTGTCGACCACTTCCTGTACAACACGCACCCGTACTGAGACGAACGTCGTCGACGTAAATTACAAATTAATTTTAATACATAATGTCTCGCCCACCCTAATTCTTAATATTCATTATATAAATCCCTGTTTTCTCTTGTTAAACAAATGTGCAACGCAAAGTTTTGTTCATTATTTTCACGATCGGAATTTCGTCCATTAATGCTTGAAGAATGAAAAGAAGGCAAAACTAAATGAGTGAATGAATGAATAAATGCCCGGATGAAGGTATTGACATCTAAATGGACATTTTGGTATACACGAATACTTTGGCGAGGTTGTATGGACTGACCCATATACAATTTTTAAAAAGAAATCGGTTCTCTTGTAGCCATTAGAAGTATATAAAGAGAGAGCGGCATTTGTTGTTTTCAGAAGGCTGTGTAGAAAGAAGCGCCCTTTCCATTAAAGTATTGTAATTTGGAAGAAAATAACACCGTCATGTGCTTAACACTCCCGGCCACTTGGGAATTGTACAAATATCAGGTGGTAGTGATGCGAACAAAGGGAGCTAACCGCTGTAAGGTTGATAGGTCCTGCCACCTGGCGAGATACTCTAATGTGGGCTACACGTGTAGGTGAATGTAACACGTGTTCGTTCGTATACGTACACAGCTGGTGATGCAATATCACTTCGACATCTTACATATTAAAGTGATATTAATGGGTACGGGTATGTACAACATTTTCACTACATGCTTTGTGTTAACTGATTCGGCACTATCACCGTTTCAACCCAAAACATTCCCAGGAGAGGAATGTAGAGTATAGTTCCGAAGCCAAGAACCCCCGCATAAAACTCCGCCCCAGTCACAAACAACCATTTGGTAATTTCCACTTATTTGCAACGTGTTTCGTTGATGAAGCCACGCACGTGCTATTTCCGATAGGAAGAAATCCTTAACCAGTCTTTGCCTTTGACAACGTATCAGTTCGTTTCCTGTGTTTATGTGATTAACCTGCACGTGACCTACTGTACGTGCTGCTCCCGCCGTGTGTAACTGTTTCATGAATGAACGTCTTTTTGGTCAGCTATTTATATCCTGTATGTATCTCAGCCACCGAACCACTTGAGCAGTGACCTTGTCGGTATGTACGATGTCAAGGTCGCTATATGGCGTCTGCAGTTATTACTGACGGGTTTAGATCCGCACAACCTGTTGCCTATCGTTGTAGACGAAACATGATACGGCTGTGGTATGTTCTGATGTCATGGTTACACACATGTTTTATAAAGGTGTCTGTTAATATACTATAACTTACATTCTCGCCTTTATTGAGTGTTTTCTATTTCACATAATGGGCCATTTCCTCTCGCAGTTATCCTACCTCCTCGACCTCCTTAACCTCCCCGACCTCCTCCTTCTCAACTCAACAACCCCTCCCGGCCTCTACAACCCCATTTTCTTACCATCACACACCCTTCCCGACCTCCACAACTCTATATCCTCACCCTTACCTACACTCACTGACTTCAACAACTCCACATTATCACCCTAACCCAACCTCACCGGCCTCAACACCCCCAAATTCTCACTCTAACCCACCTTCCCCGACCTCCACATTATCACTCTACCCCAACCTCACCGACCTCCACACACCCTCATTATCACCCTAACCCACCCTCACCGACCTCCACACCCCCACATTCTCCCCCTAACACACCCTCACCGACCTCAACCCCCCCTCATTCTCCCCCTACCCCCCCCCCCCCACCGCCCCCCCCCCCCCCCCACTCCCCCCCACACCCCCCCCCTCTCACCCTAACCCCCCCTCCCCGACCCCCACACCCCCCCCCTCTCACCCTAACCCCCCCTCCCCGAGCCCCATACCCCTCTCCCCGACCTCCACACACCCTCATTCTCACCCCAACCCCCCCTCACCGACCTCCCCACCCCCTCATTCTCAACACAACCTCGCCGACCTCAACACAACCACATTATCACCCTAACCCATCCTCACCGGCCTCCACACCCCCAAATTCTCACTCTAACCCACCTCCCCCGACCTCCACATTATCACTCTACCCCAACCCCACCGACCTCCACACCCCCCCATCATCACCCTAACCCACCCTCCCCGCCCTCCACACCCACACATTCTCACCGTAACACCCCCTCACCGACCTCCACACACCCTCATTATCACCCTAACACCCACTCACCGACCTCAACACCCTCACATTCTCACCCTCACACCCCCTCACCGACCTCCACACACCCTCATTCTAACACACCCTCCCCGACTTCCACATCCCCTCATTTTCACCCTAACACTCCCTCCCCGACCTCCACATCATCACTCTACCCCAACCCCACCGACCTCCACACACCCTCATTATCCCCCTAACCCAACCTCACCGGCCTCCACACCCCCAAATTCTCACTCTAACCCTCCTTCCCCGACCTCCACATCCCCTCATTCTCACCCTAACCCCCCCCCACCGACCCCCCCACCCCCACATTCCCACCCTAACACCCCCCAACGACCCCCGGCCCCCCCCCCTAACCCCCCCTCACTGTCCACAACCTCACATTCTCCCCCTCACACACCCTCACCGACCACCACACCCCCCCATTCTCACCCTAACACACCCACACCAACCTCAACACCTCCACATTCTTCCCCTTACCCTCCCTCACCGACCTCAACTCCACCTCATTCTCACCCTACCCCCCCCCCCCCACCCTCCCCCCCAACCCCCCCCCATTCTCCCCCCAACACCCCCTCCCCGCCCTCCACCTCCCCTCATTATCACCCTAACCCAGCCTCACCGACCTCCACAACCTCGCATTCTCACCCTAACACCCCCCCACCGACCTCCACACACCCTCATTATCACCCTAACCCAACCTCGCCGACCTCAACACATCCACATTATCTCCCTAACCCAACCTCACCGACCTCCATACACCCTCATTATCACCCTAACCCACCCCCACACATTCTCACCCTCACACCCCCTCACCGACCTCAACTCCACCTCATTCTCACCCTAACCCACCCCCACCGACCTCTACACACCCTCATTATCCCCCTAACCCCCCCTCCTCATTCTCCCCCTAACCCTCCCTCACCGACCTCAACTCCACCTCATTCTCACCCTAACCCCCCCTCACCGACCTCCCCACCCCCTCATTCTCAACACAACCTCGCCGACCTCAACACATCCACATTATCCCCCTAACCCAACCTCACCTATCACTCTACCCCAACCCCACCGACCTCCACACCCCAACATTCTCACCCTAACACAACCTCGCCGACCTCAACACAACCACATTATCACCCTAACCCCCCCTCCCCGACCTCCACCCCCCCACATTATCACCCTAACGCACCCTCACCGACCTCCACTCCCTCACATTCTCGCCCTAACACACCCTCACGGACCTCCACATCCCCTCATTCTCACCCTACCCCCCCCCCTTACCCACCCCCCCACCCCCCCCATCTCCCCCTAACACACCCTCACAGACCTCAACACCCCCACATTCTTACCCTTACCCTCCCTCACCGACCTCAACTCCACCTCATTCTCACCCTAACCCCCCCTCCCCGACCGCCACACCCTCACATTCTCGCCCTAACACACCCTCACTGACCCCCACAACCCACATTCTCATCCTTACACCTCACCCTAACACACCCCCCCCGATCTCCACACCCTCACATTCTCCCCCTCACACACCCTCACCGACCCCAACACCTCCACATTCTCACCATAACCCACCCTCACCGACCTCACAACCCCACATTCTCCCCCTAACCCCCCCTCCTCATTCTCCCCCTAACACCCCCCCCCCGACCCCCACACCCCCACATTCCCCCCCTAACACACCCTCACGGACGTCCACATCCCCTCATTCTCGCCCTAACACACCCTCACTGACCCCCACAACCCACATTCTCATCCTTACACCCCCTAACCGACCTCAACACCTCCACATTCTCCCCCTAACACCTCCTCACCGCCCTCCACACCCCCACATTATCACCCTAACCCAGCCTCACCGACCTCCACATCCCCTCATTATCTCCCTAACACACCCTCACGGACCTCCACATCCCCTCCTTCTCACCCTAACACACCCTCCCCGACCTCCACATCCCCTCATTATCACCCTAACACACCCTCACCGACCTCAACACCACCTCATTCTCACCCTAACACCCCCTCCCCGACCTCCACACCCACACATTCTCACCCTAACACGCCCTCCCCGATCCCCGCCCCCTCACATTCTCACCCTAAACCCTCCCCGATCTCCACCCCCTAACATTCTCACCCTAACACACCTAACACACCCTCCCCGACCCACACCCCCCCCCATTCTCACCCTAACACCCCCTCCCCGACTTCCACATCCCCTCATTCTCTCCCTAACACACCCTCCCCGACTTCCACATCCCCTCATTATCACCCTAACACTCCCTCACCGACCTCAACACTTCCACATTCTCACCCTAACACGCCCTCACCGACCTCCACTCCCTCACATTCCCACCCTAACCCACCCTCCCCGCCCTCCACCTCCCCTCATTATCACCCTAACACCCCCTCACCGACCTCAACCCCTCCCCATTCTCACCCTAACCCAACCTCGCCGACCTCAACACATCCACATTATCCCCCTAACCCAACCTCACCGACCTCCACACCGTCACATTCTCACCCTAACAGACCCTCCTCGAGCTCCACCCCCCCTCATTCTCACCCTACCCCACCCCCCCCGACCTCCACACCCCCTGATTCTCACCCTAACACACCCACACCGACCTCAACACCTCCACATTCTCCCCCTAACCCACCCTCCCCGCCCTCCACCTCCCCTCATTATCACCCTAACACCCCCTCACCGACCTCCACACCGTCACATTCTCACCCTAACACAGCCTCGCCGACCTCAACACATCCACATTATCCCCCTAACCCAACCTCCCCGACCTCCACACCCCCGCATTCTCTCCCTAACACACCCTCCCCGCCCTCCACCTCCCCTCATTATCACCCTAACCCACCCTCACCGACCTCAACTCCACCTCATTCTCACCCTAACAACATCCCCTCATTATCACCCTCACACACCCTCCTCATTCTCACCCTAACACACCCTCCCCGATCTCCACCCCCTCACATTCTCACCCTAACACAACCTCGCCGACCTCAACACATCCACATTATCACCCTAACCCAACCTCACCGACCTCCACACCCTCACATTCTCACCCTAACACACCCTCCCCGACCTCCACACCCCCTCATTCTCCCCCTAACACACCCTCACCGACCTCCACACACCCTCATTCTCACCCTCACACCCCTCACCGATCTCCACACCCCCTCCTTCTCACCCTAACCCACCCTCACCGACCTCCACACACCCTCATTCTCACCCTAACACCCCTCACCGATCTCCACACCCCCTCATTCTCACCCTAACCCACCCTCACCGACCGCCACACCCTCACATTCTCACCCTCACACACCCTCACCGACCTCAACACCTCCACATTCTCACCCTAACCCACCCCCACCGACCTCCACACACCCACATTCTCACCCTAACACACACCAACGACCTCCGACCCCCCCCACCCTCATTCTTACCCTAACACACCCACACCAACCTCAACACCTCCACATTCTCACCCTAACACACCCTCACTGACCTCCACAACCCACATTCTCATCCTTACACCCCCTAACCGACCTCAACACCACCTCATTCTCACCCTACCCCCCCCCCCCCTCCCCCCCCCCCCCCCCCCCCCCTTACCGACCTCCACACCCCCACATTCTCACCCTAACACACCCTCATCGACCTCAACACCTCCACATTCTCACCATAACCCACCCTCACCGCTCTCCACACCCTCACATTCTCACCCTAACACACCCTCCCCGACCTCCACATCCTCTCATTCTCACCCTAACACACCCTCACCGACCTCCACATCACCTTATACTCACCCCAACACACCCTCCCCGACCTCCACACCCACACATTCTGACCCTAACACACCCTCACAGACCTCAACACCTCCACATTCTTACCCTTACCCTCCCTCACCGACTTCCACAACCTCACATTCTCACCCTAACACACCCTCCCCGACCTCCACATCCTCTCATTCTCACCCTAACACACCCTCACCGACCTCCACACACCCTCATTCTCACCCTAACACACCCTCCCCGATCTCCACACCCTCGCATTCTCACCCTAACACACCCTCACCGACCTCAACACCTTCACATTCTCACCCTAACCCAACCTCACCGACCTCCACACCCTCACATTCTCACCCTAACACCCCCTCCCCGAGCTCCACACCCCCTCATTCTCACCCTAACACACCCTCACCTACCCACACAACTCCATATCCTCATCCTTTCCCACCCTCACGAACCTACACACCCACATTATATCTGCCATTTCCCATACTTTATTAATCCGCTCAATCCACCAACCATGTCCTTGATGTCGTGAAATGTCAAATCAACATCTTTCCTCTCGCACTCTACAATTATAACAATAATCAAAGGGGCTGCTTTGCGAACATTTGATCAGTTTTCGATAAAATAAAAAACTAACCCAGAGAAACGATTAAATTTGGTATTATACATGGTGAACAAAGCCTTGCTTATGTTTAGATATGTACACCCGTACATAGATCAGCGATGCAAGACTCACTTATGTGACAATTAAAATTGAAATCTTAGTAAGTTTACTATACATACGATTTGTTAGGCCTGTTGATGCTTTAGAATACATTTTGTACATTTAAAAGGTAAATTTAGGTTGCTCTCTTTTCTTAGAAACAGATTTTTTTGCAATTTTCAAAAATCAAAAAGACGTCTGTCGTGGTTTTGTCTATAAAAGCTAAAATCAGCAGGACTGGTATTTCCGCACTATGTGATTGTGTAACAACGAAACGCCCTGCTTATTTATTCGTGTATTATTTTGACGTGATATTTGAGATAGTGCTGTGACACACGATATTAAGTAATCTACAATGACAATCATTGTTACCCATTAAACGTTCAAACAATTTTATGTCGACTAAATGCGATGAAGCACGCTTTCTCTTATTGATGAAATATATATCAGTATTAAGTTAGTTGTGAACAATATATCGTTACCACATATGCCCTATATGTTGTGTAGAATGACAGGTAAATATGACCGTTGGGACCTTTATTTCCGGTCAGAGGGACAGACTTATGGCGATGTGGTCCCAGATGACAAATCATTTGTAGCTAATTGGTATCATTCAACTGCTGACCGACAGTAAATAAGCTCAACTGGTTGAATCTATATTGTCGATATTTTGTGCGGGACTACTGACGACATTCATTCTACTGTCGATAGTTTGTGCAGGACTATTCACAACTACCGACCCTCTACTTCCGTTTATGCAGATTTGTCCACCATTTCCATCCAATCATTTTAAAGAAAATATCTGTTTCTGAAAGTCTGGATAATCTGAAGAATAAAGCCATTTACGCGGGGGGATTTCCACAATGGGTAAAAAGGTTACCTGATAGTATGTGTTTGGTTTGAAGGTTGTCAGTTTCGTTTTTTTCAACTGCTAGTCGTTTTCTTTGTAATGTTGCACCCCCCTGCAGGTCTGGGATTGAGAAAGGAATGCACCTTCTGGTACCCACTGCATGACCTTATCGGCGGCTAACTCGGGACCCCTATCCTCGATATCCAGGGGTTACGCTCACTTTAGCTTTCCCATTGGTAACGCTATTTTGGGAGTGATGGAGGCTCTTTAGGGGTTGTATGCAACATTACGTTTGGTTGAGTTTGTACATTTATTGAAACGTGCCATCGGAAGTGTGACGGAAATACTCGACATACTATCTATCATGGTAGTAACCGTTGGAATGCAGTTTTCTCTCATTTCCCTGTGTGTAAGATAGAGCTGTCCAGTGTAAGAAAGGGGGGTAGGAAATGTCTTTCTATCATTTCCCTGTGTGTTAGATAGAGCTGTCCAAAGTAAGAAAGGGGTGTAGGAAATTTCTTTCTCTCATTTCCCTGTGTCTAAGATAGAGCTGTCGAGTGTAAGAAAGGGGTGTTGGGAATGTCTTTCTCTCATTTCCCTGTGTGTAAGATAGGGATGTCCAGTGTAAGGGGTGTAGGAAATGTCTTTCTCTTACTTCCCTGTGTGTAAGATAGAGCTGTCCAGTGTAAGGGGTGTAGGAAATGTCTTTCTCTTATTTCCCTGTGTGTAAGATAGAGCTGTCCAGTGTAAGAAAGGGGGGTAGGGAATGTCTTTCTCTCATTTCCCTGTGTGTAAGATAGGGCTGTCCAGTGTAAGAAAGGGTTGTAGGAAATGTCTTTCTCTCATTTCCCTGTGTGTAAGATAGAGCTGTCCAGTGTAAGGGGTGTAGGGAATGTCTTTCTCTCATTTCCCTGTATGTAAGATAGAGCTGTCGAGTGTAAGAAAGGGGTGTAGGAAATGTCTTTCTCTCATTTCCCTGTGTTTAAGATAGAGCTGTCCAGTGTAAGAAAAGGGTGTAGGGAATGTCTTTCTCTCATTTCCCTGTGTGTAAGATAGAGCTGTCCAGTGTAAGGGGAGTAGGGAACTCCTTTCTCTCATTTCCCTGTGTTTAAGATAGAGCTGTCCAGTGTAAGGGGTGAAGGGAATGTCTTTCTCTCATTTCCCTGTGTTTAAGATAGAGGTGTCCAGTGTAAGAAAGGGGTGTAGGGAGTGTCTTTCTCTCATTTCCCTGTATGTAAGATAGAGCTGTCGAGTGTAAGAAAGGGGTGTAGGGAGTGTCTTTCTCTCATTTCCCTGTATGTAAGATAGAGCTGTCCAGTGTAAGGGGAGTAGGGAACTCCTTTCTCTCATTTCCCTGTGTTTAAGATAGAGCTGTCCAGTGTAAGGGGGGTAGGGAATGTCTTTGTCTCATTTCCCTGTGTGTAAGATAGGGCTGTCCAGTGTAAGAAAGGGGGGTTGGGAATGTCTTTCTCTCATTTCTCTTTCTGTAAGATAGAGCTGTCCAGTGTAAGAAAGGGGTGTTGGGAATGTCTTTGTCTCATTTCCCTGTGTGTAAGATAGGGCTGTCAAGTGTAAGGGGTGTAGGAAATGTCTTTCTCTTACTTCCCTGTGTGTAAGATAGAGCTGTCCAGTGTAAGGGGTGTAGGAAATGTCTTTCTCTTATTTCCCTGTGTGTAAGATAGAGCTGTCCAGTGTAAGAAAGGGGGGTAGGGAATGTCTTTGTCTCATTTCCCTGTGTGTAAGATAGAGCTGTCCAGTGTAAGAAAAGGGTGTAGGGAATGACTTTCTCTCATTTCCCTGTGTGTAAGATAGAGCTGTCCAGTGTAAGAAAAGGGTGTAGGAAATGTCTTTCTCTCATTTCCCTGTGTGTAACATAGAGCTGTCCAGTGTAAGAAAGGGGTGTTGGGAATGTCTTTCTCTCATTTCCCTTTGTGTAAGATAGAGCTGTCCAGTGTAAGAAAAGGGTGTAGGGAATGACTTTCTCTCATTTCCCTGTGTGCAAGATAGAGCTGTCCAGTGTAAGGGGTGTAGGAAATGTCTTTCTCTTATTTCCCTGTGTGTAAGATAGAGCTGTCCAGTGTAAGGGGTGTAGGAAATGTCTTTCTCTTATTTCCCTGTGTGTAAGATAGAGCTTTCCAGTGTAAGAAAGGGGGGTAGGGAATGTCTTTGTCTCATTTCCCTGTGGGTAAGATAGAGCTGTCCAGTGTAAGAAAAGGGTGTAGGAAATGTCTTTCTCTCATTTCCCTGTGTTTAAGATAGAGGTGTCCAGTGTAAGAAAGGGGTGTATGAAATGTCTTTCTCTCATTTCCCTGTGTGTAAGATAGAGCTGTCCAGTGTTAGGGGTGTAGAGAATGTCTTTCTCTCATTTCCCTGTGTGTAAGATAGAGTTGTCCAGTGTAAGGGGTGTAGGGAATGTCTTTCTCTCATTTCCCTGTGTGTTAGATAGAGCTGTCCAGTGTAAGAAAGGGGTGTCGGAAATTTCTTTCTCGCACCTCAGACAGAGATATCCCACGTCATACCCCATGCTAGATTTTTCTATCTCGTCCGATCTGTCTTGCACCTTTACGTGACATTTCGCGGAATATTTACACTGC